CTAGTGTTTTTAGTGCAATTGTTGGCATTTTGTTTTAAGTCTATCTTTTCGTCTTTCATATCTTCTGTCAATTATATTTGTTAATGTATTAAATATTTCATAAATTGTATGCAAATATATAAGATTTTAACGTTTACTGAAAGGTCAGAAGAAAACATTAAAAAGTAATGATTTCATGGTTTGTTAATGTCCAGGGTATAAAGTTCTATTTCTGTTATTTCAGAAACAATGTAACAATATGGGAGGCTCCCTTGTAAAGATTGAAGACTCAGCAGAAAACTCATGGGTTGTTAGCAAGGTTTACGGTAAGGATAGTTTATACGTATGATAAGACACATCGACACTGTTACATTTTTGCAACACAGCTGTATTAGAAAAGTGACAAAATAGATAAATCACAAGTGGGAGAAAAAGTGTGTAAAAATAAACTGTCAATTTTCAATATAGAACCGAAATTTATTGGAAAAGTGTGATCGTCTTTTATAATATCAATTAAGGTATTATATGGGAGCAATAAGTACTTAAAAATTAAAAAGTGTATTTAAGTTTGGAAATATACCAAACAATACAAAATAACGTCACCCAGGATTGTTTTCACGTTACTTTGTCAAATTTATATGTATTAAATAAAGGGAAAGATTATTGTGTGACAACAAAATGACAGAGCGTTTAAAACAAATAAGTGAAATTACCAAAAATTACCAAGAAATAAAAGAAATATGATTTCGTGTTCAAGCTACACAAGATTTTTTTCCAAACCACACTCTTGATGATACACTTCATACTCTGTTGATCACTTTCCTGCCAAAATATATTATAATACCAACTAGTGCTAGTTAAAATATTTGATAAATGACAATTGTTGGAATAACATGTTTACCATTTTTTATTGAAGGTAACGCTTATCTCAATACATTGAAACATTGATTTTTCGCATAAGTCAGTTTACTGTATAGAAATACTAGTATGTATCATACTTTTATTTTACAATTTTAATCCGGAATTATCCAACTGTCGTTTTTTACGACTAAAGATGAACAAAAATCAACACTTGGATGAATGTCATAATAAAAACATGTGTTATTGTTATTCTTATTATTATTATTATTATTATTATTATTGTTGTTGTTGTTGTTGTTGTTGTTGTTGTTGTAATGTCCACAGAAATGTAAAAATGAGTTTAAACGTTCCGTCAATTAAGCCAAATTTCTGGGTTCACAAATAAGTGTTGTATAAGTTTAAATTCTTAACGAAAGATAGTTCTGAAAATTAATAAAATTCCAATTCAAAACTGTGTGGTGTTTCATTTGAAAACCTTTGTATTGTTTCAAATTTGGTAACACAGAAAATAAATGAAAGTGTCGTATCATTGATGTCTTTTAGTATATAAAATAAGGATATGAAGTATGTTCACGTGTAAGTTCATTTTCATTTGCATAAATAATTGCCTTTTTATATACTGACAACTTTTACTATAATATGTGTTTATTATTGCTGGAAACAGAATCGGTTAAGCACAAATATGGCTCTTATATAGGAATGTCAGACTTTAAGAAAGAAGGAGTCTGGAGATGGGTTCATGACTTTTCTAAGGTTGGTTATTCCTAGTGGTATCCAGGCGAACCAAACAATACTGAGAGTTCTGGAAATGAAGACTGTGGTCAATTGTGTGCAGTCTAAAGTTAAGTATAAATGGATTGTTGCACGATGCAACCATGAAAACACAGGATAAATCTGTGAGTGTTCTCGTGTAAGTTTATTATCATACAATACAGTTCCCGTTTTCATTTCTATGTTTGTTTATTGCTTTTCTTATGGCCAGAAATGTTTGGTCTACGGATAGGATTGAAATCAATCCTCATTCATATTCATTCAGCGTTATAAACGGCATTTGTTAACTAATATATCCTAAGGCCACGCCAAATTAATACCTCGTTTGTCGGATTCTCCGCGTGTTGTGAAAGGTCGACCAGATAAAAAGTGCTTTTTACAAAAAACTTAACGTAAAACATGAGTGGATTATAACTAGTTACAGTAGTATCGTAGGCAAACACATCAGTAGAATATGATTTGGGCAATTCTTTTACCGATTTGTTGGAAGTGCTTCGTGGAAGACCACAAACGTTCCTACAATTTCGACCAGGAAATATGACAGCAATTTTTTTACCAGCTGCAATAACCATCCCTAAAAGATCGTCGAACACAAAACAGACTTATCCTTTTCTGCAAAGTCATACACGGTCAATCCAACTTACCATCTGTTTATGATGATCTGATCAACTGGAAAAAAACATCTTAGACAACCAAGAACATGTATTATGAAATTATGACCAACATTTCTTGAGACTGCAAACAAAACCAAAAACAATTAAAGATTGAAACCTACTACCACCGGATATTTTCACAAAAATTCAAACAGAAGAAGAACCAGCTTAAACCTTCAGTGATATTGTAACAGTAAGGGGCGTCTCACTAAGAGAAGTAATTGACTCACGCGCGGTGTAGTAATATCATCGTATACCTATCAAGATCAAACAACAAAGCAACGACGCCACCGAATTGAAAGCTTTAAATTATGACAATTTAACATGCATAAGAATAAATGTTAATCCGAATGCTAATGGTACATGAATTGAAATGGCACCGCAAATGAAACTAATATATTGTTGACTTTTTTTTTATCTATTTTAGAATAAAGGTTTTTCCTTGAAATTTTGAATCTTTTATAAGTATCATCAGAAAGTCATATTGAAATAAAATTGAGAATGGAAAGGGGAAATGTGTCATAGAGACATCAACCCGAACAAAGAGCGGAAAACAGCACAAGGCCACCAATGGGTCCAACACAGCTAGATAATCCCGCACTCGGAGGCTGGCTTCAGCTGATCCCTAAACAATAATGTATACTAGTTAAAAGCATGGCATTTGACAAGAATGTTTTTGTGGTAATTGAATCTTTATAATTTCAAAATCTTCTAACAATAAGAATTTGTTTGATTGTCAATGAGACAACTAGTTCACGGTATGGCCTTTAACACCGAGCAATTAACACATGCAATATATATACCTGGTATATAAATTTGATTGTTATTAAATTCTACAGGTAAGCAATGACTTAAGTGGAATGTATTGAAATGTTTCTTTTGTTTGGTTAGTATTTAGCATCTGATGGGTTCATTTGAATGGTATAAATTGGTTTGGTTGTTGAAGGACAGTCCTTTATTAATTTTCAGCTTATTTTATAATACACAAAAAGTTATGGTTGTATATACATGCTTTATACACGCATTAATGCTTCGCATACGTTTATTTAAAACAACATGCAATGCATCCGATCCATTTGAACTATGGTGGATAGTTGTTTCATTGGCATTCATACAACATCTCCTATTTTTATAATGCATCAATTATAATTTTCATTAAACATGGATGCATGCCTGTTCAAAGCTGTTGCACTTTGCATGTGCAGAAGGATCATATTTATTTGATCTGCTGACTACACAAAGTTGTACGTTTTGCTACAAGTTAACCATATTCTACTTGAAAATGTTGTGAAATGATTAAACTGGGTGTCAGAGAACAAATTGAGGGGCAAAGTAGGGTAATATAAGAACTAGGATATGAGATATAAAAAAATATCAAGCACCAAAATTATGGAAAATTTCTAATCGCTCACTTGCTTAAAAGTCTTTTCATAGATATTTTTTTTTAAATATTTCAAAAATAATATCACTCGCTAGTAAAAAATTCTTTCGCCTGCCAAAAATCAAACTTCCAAAAAAAAAAACAAATGAAAAAATTTCGCTCTCTCACTACCTTTTTTCAAAGGAAAGAGTCCGAAGAACTAGAAATTAATTTGGTGTGGCCTTAAAATGTAAATTATTCGTTATGTGGACAATAAATGTCTGATATCTATAAACCAAATCTCCCCATTACTCTTCTAATATGCTCTGGTAAAAAAGGGGATAAGCTGAGATAACGAAAAAGTAATGAAGTCATTTTTACATGGCGTTTATAACAAGGATTTTTTTAATTGTCATAGCGACAATCACTTCCTATTTGTCTCGATTGTGACATCATTGAATGTGACTTATCACGTATACTTGTTCAGGGTGAAGCTGGACCTCTTTAACAATTCAGCGTAAAATGAGATAACCTACGGATTTTGGTAGGGTTCGTGTTGCCCAGTCTTATGTTTTCTGTATAGTGCTGTATAGACTGTTGTTGTTTTTTTCGTCGTTTTTCTTTTTTGGCCATGGTATTTTCTGTTTTTCTTCAAATTGTTGTTTTTGATTGTCCATTTGGTATTTTCTGTCTCTTTTTATGCAGTCACTTTATATGATGCTGATAACAGGGAATGTAGTTTTATGCAGTAATTTTTCATAGTGTTCATAACACTTAATACAGTCATTTTCTATTGTGTTTAGAACACTTTTCAATGTCTTGCTACAAGTTTAAGAATAGGAATTAAGAATGTTAATTTTTACGATGTTTAACAGAGAATGTTATTCAATTGAGTAATTTTTCGTGGTGTTTACAACAAGGAGTGTAATAGTATTAAGTTACTGTTCATACTGCTAACAAACTTTGTTAAGCTAACTGCAAAATGTTGCCTGCTTAATTTTTTGTTTAGTATTATAAATATCAACTGAATCGTTTTCTAATCATTTTGAAATACATCATTTAGATATCAATATTGTTGTCAAATTACTGGTGCGGAAATAAACTCTAAACAGGGGTTCATAAAGTCAAACACTAAAAAGACATATTACTCGCGGAGCAAACTCCACTACAATATTTTATTGAACAAAATACGAATAATTCAAAATTTTAAGGTTTATATATAATAGCTTCATTTTGCAAAGTGAATATATGTTTGTAATCTCTGCTAGTAATTTTTCATGATTAATGTCTTAAATTTCCTCCGATACACATGCCAATTTGTTATTGAGAATAAAGTATATTCAGACATACTAATGTTTTCTTCTTTTGTTCCTAAGGGACCGAACTGCCGTCCCTTCAATGAATGAGAGAGAAACAAGCAGCCACTAGAAGACAGATATATTGTTCACTTCATTAAAGAAATCTAAACAGAAAGAATTGCATTTCATCTCCTATATTTTAAGCATAAACAGTATATTAACTATCATATTATGTAAACTTTGCTTAACACTAAAGAGCCACTTTTACAAATCAGAATTGTGACAATATACAAAAAAATACCACAATTAGCATCCGGAAAGTTCTGGAAAGGCTATTAACTACAAAAATATTCTCATGACGTACTGAAAGTTTAAATTTCACGGTTTGATATTTGTAAATACAAAAAAAAAAACACAATAGAAGAAAACAATGGGGTAGAAACGACCATTGCTACTTAAGTTGACTTTTTAATAATAAATAATTTTTTTCTTAATTACTTGACTCAAATACATTAATTTGATATGTGGAGTTAAGAAAAAGAATTTATTGTTAAAAGTTAATTAATATCTAACCATTATTGAAATCAATAGGCAAGTACTTCAAAGTAGACTGTATTTACCCTCATCTATCAATAAACTGTTTTAGGCTGGTACTTCTAGTATAAACCGTGACAAAATGATATTTTCATGTTTAGAAGTGTTAATAATTCACTATGTAAAAGTAAATTATTATCCATAAAAACTCCGTATTATTTAGAACTACAATTAAACAAAGAACATTTGCTGGTTACTAGACATTTTGCTTCCAGGATCGTGTCATTATTGAGCTCAGCCTTTAAAGTTGATGAGTATTAGTTTAGACACAAGGCGCGTCAATTATGCACTAAGTCTTGACATGAAAGCTTGGGACGTGATCAAACCGCAGTTCCTAGAACAGATGGATGTTTACAGACATTCATAAGTTGGGAATTTAGTTATATATACTTGGTTACTGTTGGAAAATAAGGGTTGTATTTAGACAGAAGTTCGTTTGAAATATTATGCAAATAAAACATGAGGGTATCAATAAATACATATATATTAACTTTGAACAAAGGTTTTATACTTGAGCATCTTAAAAACAGAAGATTTTTCAAACCGACTATAATAAAATTCAGATTCAAGAACAAATTTTTATTGCCATATAAACTTTAAACAATAAGTTGTGAAAAAATTCAAAATGAGTATACAATATAACTTAAATTCACATATATATCATGTATATGTACACAATCATTTGATTACAGTATATATTCCAAAGTCCCCTGTCATTAGTTCTAACGACTGTATAATGTAGTAACCAAATTTATTTACTTGTGATGGTGTTGATGGATTGAGCATCAAATCACTTTTTCTTCATCAGACAAATCTTGAATAGAAAAATGTATTTCCAAATAATCAAAAAGTTCCCTATTTAATTCACAATCTAATAAAAAAAAAACAGATCCTCTTCCAAAATGTTACATTTACATGTAAGGCATAATCTCTGATCTCTAGGAATATTACTTATTAGTATATGATCATCAAAGTGCAAGATTTTATTGAAAATGATGGAGATAGCATCTTAGAAAAAGCAATGTGTAAACATTTCACAAAGTGTTCTATGATAAACTTTGTTCCTCAGTGTGAATTCCCTTTGTTTGCCTTTTTACTTGAACCAGGACCTCAAAATCCCAGTTCAATATACCAAGCGTTTCCTATAAAATCTTTGCAATATCAGGAAAACTGGCCATGACTTGAATTCGTTTGTGATAAAGGTGCCTATTGTTGAAATATATTATCTATTTTAATTGGGGGGTTGCTGTTTCTTGTTCTTGTATTATATATTGATGGAAAGGGGAGGTCTGTATATCTATCTGTTCATTCTTCCTCCTTCTGTTCAATTTTTGTATCCACAACTGCTCCTAAATTTAAGAATCTGACTCCATGATGTACTTTTGTTCCTCCTATTTTGTGTTTTGAGCCGAATTATTTTTCAGGGTTTTTCTTACAAAGCATCGACTTAGTCATTGCTCTATTTGGGGGTAGCATTTATGTATCCGCAGATCCTTCCAAATCCCGTATTACAATTAATTCAAACTTTCTCAAAAATCCTAACCATATATAACTCCATTATGCACTTCCTATTTTGCGTTTTGGTCCGGTTTGTTTGGAGGGGGGGGTCTGTTTCTTTGACAATTAATGGACTTTTTTATGAAACATTTTATGATTTAGCGTGCAATAGTTCTAGCTTTTTCCCTAGGTTTGGTTTGGTCCATGACAAGACCAGTATATAATTGCATAATCAGAGTGTAATCTCAAAGAGTTGCATGTATATGGATGTAAGCAAAGTTTTATCACATCTTCCCTAATATTTATATGAGCTCATACTTTGTGCAGTTGAATCCATAAAAATACTTTTCCTGTGGTTAGGGCGTATGCTTATATAGCTGTTGTGGCTGAGTGGCTAAAATGTGGGTAAACATTTTGAATTTGCCAAAGGTGTTGGTTCAAATCCTCTGTAGATTGGTACAAAAAACAGATTGAGCTTTTCCTATAAGTGAAACAATTGGCCATGATTGTTAAAATCTAAAGGTTTTCTCTTCCTTCTAAAAGAGAGGTGAAAGATACCAAAGGGACATTCAAACTCATAAGTCGAAAAAAAACTGACAACGCCATGGCTAAAAAGAAAAAGACAAACAGACAAACACCAGTACACAACACACAACACAGAAAACTTAAGACTGAGCAACACGAACCCCATCAAAATTTAAATATTGAAGACTCTTCATTATATACTTAAACTTTGTCGATAATTTTTTCATATATATTCATAAAATCAAAATTTAATTATAAAAACGATAACTGTTACTGTTCAATACATAAATAATTCTCTTATTTATGTATTGAAGGTAAAATGCAAACATACATTTTTTAAATTAATTTTACCCAAAAGTCAATTTGTAGGTTTTCTTCAAACAAATTTTGGTTTAGAATGTTATTCTAATAGACTTTTCGGATGAATCCTAACAAATAGAGAACATCAGTCAATATTGCGGTTTTAAGCAATCTTTATGCATTTTTGTTATCCCATTGAATGTAATACTTACTACTGTTTGAATAACTAGGTACACTTGCAAGTGTCATACTAATTTCAGTAAGGATTAGAAGAATTGTTTTAATGACCTGTGTGAAATAAATTCACTTAGGAGAAAATGCCCCTGCCTCTTTATAAGCTCAATATAGACCCAAAATATATGTCAATTCAATAAGACCTCAATATGACCCACATTTCTCTCCAAAATTAAAACCATTATGTAATGACTATTCACAAAAGTATCACAATCACTCACAGTTATAACAGTTTCAAGATATAAACATGACTTTTTTCGGAAAATTTTACTCATGTTACTGGAACGAAGTCGTACATCATTTGTACATTGAACATACATTTGTATTGATTAATATTATATATACATATGACGTCAAAATTTGTGTAAATTTTATTTTTCACCATATAAAATGAAAACAAGCAAATTTTAATTGGTTTTCAGGACAGGAAACATATATATATATATGTACTTGTTTGTTATACAGTCATGTTATATTTAATTTTAAAAAAAAACATTTCGAACGCTGTGATGAAAATATATTTGAATAAAGTTCAAGAGATTTGATCAAATGTCACCAAATTTCTTTATTTTTTGTAGCTATTTGGTGTATATAAATTTAAACAATGAATTAAAGAAATTCTCTACATATTGTTCTATTTTACTTCAACTTGAAATCTTTTCATCTTAAAGTCATAACTTCGATATTGTGACTTTATAACGCCCTTAACATGCTTAACGAACAAAAACGCACCCCCTTTGTCAGTTCAAATGTTTAACACTATCTGGCTTAATATTCTTTAACACATTTAAAAAGGATTTTTAACTGACAAAATATTCATCTTTACTTTTTGCTATGTCGGCAAGTTTATTTTGTTTGACTATAATGTCAGAAAGTTTATTTTCGATTTGTATACATTTATTTTTACACAAAAACTACATATAGGTGTGAGGATTCGTTTCATTTTGTCTTGGCGAAGGTTAATTTATTTTCATCTGTGGGTCAAATTTATTTTCAATTTTGTACACAATTATTTCGCGAAAAATACAAATATATATGTCCATGCAGGAGAGATATACCTTTTCATCATGCCTTAGGAAATATAAATATTATTATACCCATAGCATCTTAGAAATAGCCATACATTCGTCCGTTACGCCCACATATTACGTTTTATTTACAATGGCCATTTACACGCATGGGTCGCCAAAGGTTTTCTCAACTTCTAAAACAAATAACAATGATTTCACGCAATAGTCTGTTTGCCAATTTCCGTAATTGACCCTGTAATAAGAGATTCCTTTTTTAGTTGTCTTCCTTAGGAGGGACATACATTTTAATTGAAAATGGAGAGCAAGCGGAAAGAGCAAATTTATCTGTGCGTAAAGTGTGTAACCTTTAACTTTTTCAAATCTTTTAATTACATTTAATTTGTTGTTAAGCTAAACACTTTTGATACCAGAAGTTATTTTTCAATACAAATTTTGTTAAAATGCCGATATATCACTTTCAACTTATCATGCTTTGCGTGGGCAAAAGCCAATTTCGTCTGGTATAGAACCAGTCTACGATTGACAAAAGGAAGTAATTTGTTTAAAAAGTGTGTAATAACAGAATCAAATCTGTAATTGGCAAATGGACTATTACAGTATGTCCGGGGCATTTATTTGGGACTTAACATAATTACACCTTACATAGTGTTCCAGCTTGATTATTTTCACAGAGCGGTCCGCCCGCCCTTTCCCGACTGCCGCCCTGTGCTCTTTTTCGCAAGTTTATGCCTTTATTGCCGTATTATTTTGATGGAATACTATATTTCTACCTGTCTTCATGTTTCTGACAATTTATGACCCTCAGCTAATTAACCTTTACAGAAGGTGTTATAAGTTGTGATTACAAGTAATCCACTTATCACCATCGGATGGGTCACACTAATCCGTTAATCAATAAACCTCATATTTGACCATTATAATTATTTTTCCCAGTAATATCAGTCGGCATTTCAATTTCAATATTTCTCCACAATTTGCAGTTTGTTTATCCATAGAC